ATACAAGGCAAGTCCTCTACCACCAAACCACTCAGCCCCTAGTCCCCATCTTTGGAAGTTGGAATACTCATCACTGTTGTCTTCGGCTCTGATGCCTTTGCCAAAAATTCTGCAACACTGGAAACGGTCCCATTCCATATTCTGGAGGCTTTGATCCTTGATGGACAGATGCTCTGAATGGCTGTTACCACTTTTGTGAATGACTGAGCATGTCCGAAGCATGCAGACCTGGGAAGGCTGAGATGGGTGGAAACTGAGCCATCACATGTTTGTTCTTCTTGTGGCTCCATGTCCCCAGTCTTCCTTTCCAAAAGGCATCTTTGCAGAAAAAAGACATCTTTTTGTCCCTTACCATCCTGAATGGGGAATTCTAGGAAGGCAGAAAATCATTCTCAAGGAGAACATAGGTGTCCAGGTTGACAGGACCTTAAGTGCACTTAAGAGAAAACCTCTCCTCTTAGCTTGGGAACAACACCCTCCTTCCAAGAGCCATATGTCCCTTTCTTTAGCTCAAATGCTTTTGAAACCCAGGTGTCCATGGGCCTCTGCCAAAAAGTATTAGAAAGATTAAGGCAGACAGGCAGGATCCTTATTAATAATGATATTTATGGCCTTTGATCAAAATGATAAAAATATGGAACCAGGTGTGTACTTGGATGTGAGTTGAACTTGAACATAAGTAGCCAAATCCCTACTTTGCTCTGGCTTTGATGCCAAGAGTAGGGCTTGAGGCAAAGAGTTTAAGGCTATTTTGTTGTTGTTGTTGTCGTTGTTTTTCCTTTTTTTCCAGAACACTGGCTGTCACTAGTGGATTTTGTTTCCCTGATGCTGCTCCACATTCACCTATTTCTGACTTTGACAGTAATTCCAGTGCCAATCACCAGCTTTCTATATTTATCAGCAGCTGCTTCAGTGATGTGGAAACAATTTTCTCAACAGCTGAAAAACATGCAGATAGAGAGTAGGACGTTTTGTTCTTTAGAAAGGAGCTCAATTGGAGCGAGCACGGAAGAAGTGAACCATCCAGTGCGCTCTTTATCTCTCCATCTTTTATACTTTGCCCAGTAGGACTTCAGGCTGCTCCAAGGAAAGCTGTGGCTTTGTCCAGAGGGAATGGGCAACCTTGGTGGAATACCCTGGAAAACTGGGACCAGCTGACGCCGGTGGTTTTTTCTTATCTAGGAGACAGTCTTTGTTGATTTGCTTGTGTCATAAAGTTTGGGATGGAGGAAGCTTTGCCCCATCCTCCTCTTCCAGCCCAGCTTGGCTGGCTGGTTTTAAGCATTCATTACTGTATGAATTAAGCATCATCCAAATGCCTGCCTTTGATAATGGGCAGGAATCAGAGAGTCTGAGTGGTATAGACACCACCTGTAAGGTCAAGGGCTTCCCGTCTGCAAGGCGTTTTGACTAGGATTGGTATCATGTTCACAGAGCCCTTCCTGATCCATAGCAGCCCTCAGGAAAAAATATCTTGGTGGTCCTTGTTCTCCAATTGTTCTTCTTGCATAGCTCCAGAATGTCTGGGTGCCAAGGTGCTTGACTAGAGTCAGGAAGCAGGGGAAGACCTGTTGAGTACATGTGTAGTATCAAGCCTTGTGCTTGCGAAGCACTTTACAGTGATGATCTCGCTGCTTCTTCCCAGCAAGTAGCTGCTATTGTCAGCATTTTGCAGATGAAGAAATGACAGTTCAGAGGGAGTAAATGACCCAAGTCTTCCCACACCAAAGCAAGCCCTAATCCAGCAGCCATCTCCCTAGACTTCTCTGCTTGTGTAGGTGGAGACCTCAAACCGCTCTGCCAGCCTTGCTGAATCCAACAGCCTTCATTTGTAGAGCTGGAAAAATATCTCTCAAGTTTATTTCTTCCTTAAAAAATTCTGTTACATGGCATTTTTCTTAGTATTTAAATTTTCGCTGCCACCTAGTGGGAATTATCTAATGAGATGCGTAAAAAAAAATTCAATTCAATTGAACTAAAACTGTTTCATCTAGGAAGAGGCAAAATTATGGAGATAGTAAGAAGTTCAGTGGTTGCCGGGGAAGGTGGGAGGAAGGGGCAAGTAGGCGGTGCACAGTATGTATAGGTGAAATTATTCTATATGATGCTATAATACTATATATGAATCACAAACTTGTCTAAACAGAATGTCCAGAATGCTAAGGTCAACTGTGGGCTCTGGGTGATAATCATGTGTCAGTATATGCTCTGCAGTGATAACAAGTGTACCATTCTGGTGGGGGGGGGGCAAGTTTATGGTGGCAAGTGGAATATAGGAAATCTCTATACCTTCTGCTGCTCAGTTTTTCTGTGAACCTAAAACTGCTCTGAAAAGTCTATTTCTTTATTAATCATCAATTCATTCTAAGTCTATACTGTGCTCCTACTCTTCAAAAAAAAATTTTTTTTTTGGTACCAGGGATTGAACTCAGGGGCACTCAACCACTGATCCACATCCCCAGTCCTTTTTTATTTTATTTATTTATTTTTATGTGGTGCTGAGGATTGAACCCAGGGCCTTGCACATGCGAGGCAAGCTCTCTACTGCTGAGCCATAGCCCCAGCCCCTCAATTTTGTATTTTTATTTAGAGACAGGGTCTCACTGAGTTGCTTAGTGCCTTGCTTTTGCTGAGGCTGACTTTGAACTCTTGATCCTCCTGCCTCAGCCTCCTGAGCCACTTGGATTACTGGTGCACACCACTGTGCCCAGTGAAAATTGTATTTTTAAATAAATATTGTGGCCTTCCATTTTTTCTTGATAATAAACTGCCAGATGTGAGATTCCTTTATATTTTTGATGAGATATGGGGATACACATAAACTGTACTTTAAAAAAATACTTAGATTTTGTGTAATATACGCTCAGTTTGTAACAGGCTGTGCTCTAAGAAATTCTATCTATAATACTCAGAATTGACATTTTTAACCTCATGCTTTTTTTGTTGTTGTTTTTAATATTCTCATGGTTAAAAAACAATTTGTGTATCACAGAAGATGTGAAGTAAAGTCAGGTCCCTCTCCACAGAGGAAAGTTTCTTAAGAAGGTCTTGCTTTTTTCCCATGCATGTTCTATTCTGGGTAAGCATGCAGACTCTTTACTATTTTTCTATGCATGAGCTTATGCCATGAGCACTATTGTACAGATTGCTTTCCTCACTTGATCTATTTTGGAAGTCCCACATCTACACATACTACACATAAACCTACCTCATTCTTTTTTTTTTTTTTTTTTTGGTACCAGGGATTGAACTCAGGGGCACTCAACCACTGAGCCGCATCCCCAGCCCTATATTGTATTTTTATTTAGAGACAGGGTCTCACTGAGTTGTTTAGTGCCTCACTTTTTGCTGAGACTGGCTTTGAACTCTTGATCCTCCTGCCTCAGCCTGCCAAGCCGCTAGGATTATAGGCATGGGCCACCACACCTGGCTAAACCTACCTCATTCATTCTAGCAGCACTTAATATTCCATTGTTGGTTGTGCTCTGATTAATTTAGTAGGTCCCTCATTGATGTCAATATAGACTATAATTCAATTTTTGTTACAAAATGCTATAGGGAACACACACACAGGCAAATACACACACTCTTGCAAAAAATATGTTTAGAATAAAATCTTAGACCTGAAGTTTCTGGGTCTCAAACAATGTTAACACTATGCTACAAGATCACCAGACACACACCTGAGATTTAAAAAAAAAAAAAAAAAAAAACTTAACTCACTGCAGCTGGGAGAGATGAATTGTGCACTATGGTTGGAGTTTGAAGAGAAAATTCCAGGATTTGGACTTGTGCTGGGTACCTACAGCGAGATTCCAGGGAGCAGGAGCAGGGCTGGGATGGGTGTTGTCAAGAATCAGGAGCAGGTGGGTGCTGGGGTATCCTGAATTTCTCCAGGAGAGAGTCAAATTGGGCTGGAAGCATCTTTGGTAAAGGAGCAGCAGTCACAGCTGTGGTCAGAAGAGGGGGTTGTTTAATCACTTTGTGCACTGAGGAGCCTGGTCTCGGTCTCGTTCCAAATGTGGCCACTAGTGGCCTTGCTGGGTCCCTCTATGGGTCCTGTATGTAAGTGGGGACATCATGGACAATTGCTGGCAGTTGTTTTCTCGGGTACATGGATTTAGACTGTGTGTACCCATTTACATTCTTCTGTTTTTTTTTTTTTTTAACACTTCCCTAACCCAATGAAGTATTTCATAATCAAAATAATAATGGCAGCTATAATAATAGCAAATGTTTATAGGGCCATTTTGAATGTGGCAACCATTGAATCCTCATCAGAGACTTGAGGTGGGTGCCAGTAGCATCTCCACTTTCCTATCAGGAAACAAGGCTTCAAAAGGCAAGTGACTTGCCTGGTCACGTAGACAAGCATCGGAGCTGGGTGCAGGACCAGGCTCTCCAACTCCAGCGCCCACACTCTGCATTCTCCTCTCTGCTTTTCGGGAACCTGCCAAGGATGAGTTAAAGCTAAGGAATTAAGAGTCATTTAATCGATGATCACAAATCATTGAGAGGCTGGTTTAGGTTGTTAAGGAAGTAGTCTCCCATTTACAAAAGTGAGAGCTAAGGGCCGCGTGCCAGGAATCCATACGCCATATTGAATGAGGCAACCAACCTGCTGTGTGCTCAGCTACTCCCTTGTGCTCTCAATCAATAAAGGCCTGTGAGGGCTTTCTTCAAATCACAGCCAAGACACTATAATTAAATATTCTCTGGTCCAGCTGGAGCTCAGAGGGTACTTAACCCCCCAGGAAATAAAACAGATGAAGGATCTCATCCACTTGGATCCACAGAGGTTCCAGCAGCTGCCTTGCTGTATGATGGTGGATCCTGTGAGGTGTCCTGGGTAAGATTATGTGCAGGGAAAGAAAATGGAATAATATGGTGTTTACCTGCCTAGCAACAGGGTTGAGGGGTGTACGCTGGGGTCCAGAAGCCTGCATGCTTGGCTTTGGCAAAGGAAATGTGTGGTGACCACTGGCTGTGCTCTCTTCTAGACTGCGCTGGCTGCGGAAGAGACATCAAGAATGGGCAGGCGCTGTTGGCGCTAGACAAGCAGTGGCACTTGGGGTGCTTCAAATGCAAGTCCTGCGGGAAGGTCCTCACTGGGGAGTACATCAGCAAGTAAGACTGGGCTTGGGGTGTGCGGGTCCTTGGAGTGGGGATGGGCCATTGTGGGTGCTATGCAGACCCTGCCAGGGGCCTCTCCTCCTCAGACCAAATGAAGTACATTCACATCCCATAATTGTTATGAACTTTTTGCTGTAAAACTTTAAGAAATAATTTTGTTATTTTACCATAATCTGGCTGCTATAAACTAAATGACTATCAATTGTCTAATCATTCCAAAGCTGACGTAATAGTACACCCTATGTCATAACCAATTAAGCTTCTAATAATTTCCCTTTTTTCTTTTTTGTCCTATGTGGAACTAGTAAGACTTTCTCCTCCCCCTTTGAGCTTATGTGTAGACTCCCCCAAAGCACATGCAGCCTAGGCACTGGGCTCCGTAGACCAGTGTCAAACCAGCCCAGGAAGCGTGTTCATTTTGAGTCAGAGGTCTTGTGGATGATCGCTAGGGTTGAGGAAGTAAGTGGAGTGTGGGTGGTGGCAGCTTTTAATGCACTCTGCAATGACAGAACTTGCCATTCTGTATCTTTATATGCTCTTTAAAAATTTCCCCACCCACATGAAATCACCCATTCAGAAAAATTAATAAATTTAGTTGAAAAAATATAGTGAAACAAAAAAGCAGCTGTGGTCTTTTACCTTGGAAATCTAGTTTCATAGTGGACCTGAGTTCAAGCAGGAACACCCTCATTAGAATAAAGAATTCCAGGGTTGATGGTGGTGGTCAGCCAAGGAAGACCAGAGAAGAGTCGAGCTTCTAAACTGACATGGCAGGCTGGGCAGGCTGGGCACCTCGGCTCTCTAGAGGGTGCTTTTTCACTCTCTCATGCTAGATCAAGCTGAAAGTGACATGTTTATTATGCTCTGAGGTTCATGGAAAGGGTCCTGGGTTCTCGGGCCTCCTGAGAGCTGAGGAAACGGAATCTGGAGGTTGCTGGCGGGGGGACTCTGTCAGGCCTGTGAGCCCAAGGAAGGGGTGTGGGGAGAGAAGGTGCACCCACAGAGGCAGACAAGCACTGAGCTCACCTCTGAAGCTGATCTGGGCTGCCAGTGAAAGGGCAGGATCCTGGTTAGTTCTGAAACCATCCGGGAACCAGCAGCGGGGGTGGGCCTCCTTCTGTGTGGCCTGGAGATCGGCAGCTTTCCCTTCTGTGACATTGGTCGTGTCTGGCCAGGTCTCCAGGCAGGTGAAAGCTGGGTGAGGCATAAACAAGTTCTGGTAAGTTCTACCCCCGTTCTGTGGAGAGGGCTCAGGGAAAGGTGATTTCAGTGTCCTCTTCCATCTGTGGCTCTGGTCACCTCTTCTTGGGAGCTGAACACACTGTTGTCTTGCAGAGATGGTGCTCCATACTGTGAAAAGGACTACCAGGGGCTCTTTGGTGTGAAATGTGAAGCTTGTCAACAGTTTATCACAGGGAAAGTCCTGGAGGTAAGTGACAGAAGAGCTCCCCTCAAAGCCCCCGCCATTTCCTCAGCGTCCTCAGAAACATTAGAGAAAGCCTCCTTTTCTCTTTGCCTTCACCTCTGACGGAAGAAAAGTAGTTGGGGGTGACTGTCAGAGAATCCATGGGCGGTGCTGTCCTTGAGGACAATTTCTACCAAATGCTCATTGGAAAATTGGAATGATGGAGAATTTGAAGCGGGGGAAAAGAATGATAAAGACTGTTGAAATGAAAAAGACTCTTTTTATTTTTGGAGGTTAGAAGAGGAAATGAAGATGGTGTTAGAGTCATGTGGGTACATATATATATCTGTGTGTGTGTGTGTGTGTGTGTGTGTGTGTGTAAGTGTGTAAGTATACAGACCCAGGAAGCAGAGGTTCAGAATCAGGGCTAAGAAAGGGTGGGTGAGAGTTGAAGGTGTTGACTTCCCCACCCTTAGAAACCCACATCCTGTGTGACCCAGAGCAACCTGTGGCTGGGGCTAAGCTGAAGTCTGTCAAGTTCAGGTGTGACTGCTTTGACCCAGCCAGCTGAGTTCCTGTGTTCTCGGCAGCTGCTCACCAGTGTCTGCCTATGGGCTGAGCCAGGCTCCTCCTGGGCCAACACACGGGCTTCTGGGCCAGAGTTCAGAGGCAGTCACTGCCCCACTTCTCACAGGCCTGTGGGGCGTCAACCAGGTCCAATGGAAAAGTCAAGATCACCTCCCGTGTCACCCATATTCCAGGGTGCAGAATGTGTGCTGAGTGGGGCTGGGTTAGGAAGCCCAGCAGCTGGCAGGAGGACGGACTGGTCCTGCAGCCTGTCACCTCCTCCTTCAGCACCAGGGCCCTGAATCCAGCTAACCATCTCCAAACTTCCCAGTAGGGTGTATTTCAGAGACACAGGACACGTATCCAGGGAGCCCCTGAGGTGTTTCTGGGCTGCTGTCTCCTGATTGTTCACTTTAATGTGTTTGATTTTAGGCCAAGTGAATGTCATCTCAAATTAAAAAAAAAATGGCTGAGAAGAGTGCAGAGAAGGGGGGCAAGTGAGACTTCTGTAGAAGTCAGGGCCCAGAAGTCAGTGCAGGAGTGCCTGTGAGACTGGACCCCCATACCCATACCTGGTGAGGTGGGAGGAGGACTCACAGTCTCTCCAGTGAAACTTAATGCTTGGCCCAAGGACATTTTGAGACTAGGGTTTTGGTTTAAGAGGAGGAACATGCCCTGCAAGGCTATTGGAGAAGGTGGCTGTAATCCACTTACTGAAGTCCAAGTGGTCCTATCACAGTCAATACTCAAAGTGGAGTGATTGGTCCTCCCCTGAGTCTCTCTCTCATCTGTCTGTCGAGCCCCAGAGAGCTCATCTAAGGAGGTGCTTAAGTGGGGCCCCACTGAATCTCCCTTGGGGTTCCCAAGTTTAGTCTCCTGTGTAAGACTGAAATAAACCTGTTGAGTTGGGAGCAACTGGGAAATTTCATTTTAAAAGAACAATAATAAAACAATTTCCCAGATTTTCAGCCTTAGGAAGGGGCAAGAAGACCCCGAGCAGCACGGTGCCTGAATTTGAGACCGCCATGTTTGTAGAGAGCACAGATCAAGTCAGCCATCTCTAATCCACACATGGATCTGTGTTCCCCAGAAAGAGTTGGGGCCAAAGGGCTGGGTGTGTGTATCTGTGTGTGTTGTTTGCTTTCAGATTTAATTCAACAGCTGTGGGAAGGAGCATCTAAAATAAAGTTAAATCCAAGAACATGACATTTTGAAGAAATCTCTGCTGACTCTGTTGTCTCCCTCGAGGCCCAAGTAGTACAGTGTTTACTGGGGCTGCAGAGGCCTCTTCCCAAATTGGCTTCGGGTTCCTTCACTGGAAGCTGCTTTGTGGGGCTTAAGGCTTGGAGACTTTCCTAAATGCCTTCAGAGTCTGGCCGTTTGGGAGCAGTTTGCACGTTCAGGCTGAGACTCAGGGTCCACCCAGCAGGCGCTGCTCGGATGGGCGTGTGATCTAGAACAACGTCCTGCAGAGTTAGCACACCACCATGTGACTTCTTGTGAGTCAGCTGGGTTTGGTCACTGAGAGATCAGAGGCAGGGCAGGGTGGGGGGATGCAGGATTAGTGTCCACACACTCCACTTCCCTCCATGTCTTGTTCTCTGACCAGGTTGTTGGTGAACCACTGTGATTGTGAATCAGTTGTAAATACCGCGGACCTTGTTTGTGTCTTTTTCATTTATTTTATCCACAGAGATGATCAGTTTTTCAGTTTCTGGTGTTTGCTGAAATGATGATGGCTTAAAACAGCAGGAATTTATTCTGAGTCCTGGAGTCTAGACATCCAAAATCAAGGTGCCATAGGGTCACACAGTCTCCGAAGGGCTAGAAAGGACCCTTCCTTGCTTCCTCCAGCTTCTGGTGGCTCGTGGCATCCCTTGGCTTGTGGCTGGATCCTCCACTCTTACCTCCATCCTCACATGGCTGCTTCTCTGTGTCACCTCTGCTGTGTCATCTCCTCTGCCTTCTTCTAGAAGGACACTTGTTACTGGACGGAGGGCTCACCCTGACCACCCAGCATGACTACTACTCAAGATCTTTAGCTTAATCTCATTTGTAAAGACCCTTTTCCTAAGTAAATTAGCACTCTCAGGTCCCAGAGATTTGGTGTAGACATATCTTGGGGAAAAAGGGTCACCATTCAACCTTTCCACCTAAGTATCAGCGCTGGGAGGCCTGAGCTCAGCTTCACTTTTTGTTGAACACTCACTAAAGATCAGGGGCACACTAGAGCCCCTCTGGGTGTGGTTTCACTGAAGTTCCACTGGACACCTGAGGAAGCTGAGAAGGGCACAGGGCCTTGATGGGGAGAGAGCTCCTGGCCTGAGCTGTGTCTCTGATTCCTAAGTACTTTTGGCAGGTCCTGCAGCTTCTTTGGGACAGTCTTCATCCACAGGTAGAGGGACTGGCATGTGACTTTTGAAGCTCCATCCTGCTCTCATCTCTGTTACTCCTTCATAGCGGTAAAGCCCACACATCTTGTCATCCTGGAGAGCTGTGGGGCCTGAGGATCATGTGGCTTCGTGAGAAGGGCTTCCCAGTGCTGGGAACCAGAGATCTGCACTTGGCCCTGGAACTCAACGGCTGGGGGACCTTGGTTAATTCTCTCAACTTCCTTGAGCCTCCATTTTCTTTTCCTTGATCACAAATATTAAAATATACATGTTCATCCAGGACTTGGGCTGCTTGACTCCTAAAGTCTCTTTGATTCTGCGGATCTGAGTTTTTAGTTTTCCTTGTCTTGTGTTTAAGGCTCAGAGCCAATTATTCTTTTCTTTTTGCAGATATTTTCTGGAAACTGATCTCTAACACCCAGCAGCTAGCCTGCACTCAGATTTTAGCTTTATCATCATTTGCTTTCAGTTTTGTTTTCAGTAGCAGGATTCTCTTTTAGGGAGATCTTGCTATAAATGGCACTTCTTTAAAAGATTTTGCTAATTAATCTATAAATTCAGGAGCATTCTGAAGTTGTTTATAGCTTAATTAAGAAGTCCAGAAACAAATTAGTATGAGATACTTGCTGATAGCCTCCTTTCTCCATCCCTTCTTTGAACGCTTTGAAAAAAAACCTTCCCTCCCCTTCCTTCTCCCTACTTCCCTTCTCCCATCTCCCTTCTGCTTGAAAAACTAAGTGTGACTTCAGATTAAGTCACAGATGTCAGTGGACATGGGGGCATCCCTTTGGTACAAATTTCCTTGTCTTTGGTGGATGGCCCTAGGTGACCCTTTACTCCAGCAGTTATCCTTCCCAGGTACAGATTGTTACCTGCAGCGTCCCAAAGAAAGAAACAGCAACAAATAGATGCAGAATGAAGGCAGGAAGGAAAAAAGAAGCTAAATGGAAAACCAAAGTCTTAAGAGTAAAGGAAAAGGGTCTGCACCCCTTCCCCAAGTGTGGGGTGCTCTTCCAAGCAGCCTGAGGGTGGCTCGGCTTTCTCCGCCTCTCCTGATCTCTTGCACAATCCCCATCCCCCAGGGGCCCTATGTCACCTGCACTCCTCATTCTTTCAAGATGAATGCCCCCACCCATTGTCCCCTCTGCAGAGTGGTGTCCCCCTGAGCAGCTGCAGGCTGTCTTTTCTGTCTCTTCTGGAAGGACGAGGACAAAGGGCAGTTGAAGTGTCTGCCTTCTGACCAAGAGGAGTGAAGGGGACTCTGCTTTCCTTCCTGGGTCTCAGGGCCTTTCCCTTTCTCTCTTCCCAACCCTCGGCATCTGGTCTTTCCAGAAGGGCTGGCCCTGCCTGTCTTTGTGGTGGGGTGTTTCCTTCGGGCCCTGAGCTCTCTGGGGAGGAATGTGTGCTGGTGCCCATTCCCCTGCCTACCCCTCCCATCCCTCAAATGAGTTTGGGAAAGTTCCCCAGAGAGCCCTTCAGGCCTGTTCCTTCAGGCCCCCAGGCCCCTGGCCTCTCTGTGCCTGTTAGCCTGAAGAGGATTTACACCTGCTTTGAGACCCTTCCTGCTGGCCTCCTGGAGTGTAGGAAATGGAATCGCAACAGGATGCATCCAGATCCTTTCCTTAGACTCTCTGAGGGATTAAAAATGGGTGGCTTTATTTTGTTTTGCTTTTTCAACTGATTTTTTTAAAAAATGCTTTTTCACAAAGCCCCAGGCCAAATGTTTGTGATGTTCCTGTGAAACAAATTCACATTATAAATGGGAGGCCTGGTTCCCTTCCTTCCTTTTGGTGCAGGCATTTGAAGCATGCATTTGTTGCAATGGCCATATTTGGCCTGGGCTAACTTATTAACTAGTGAGAAGAACATGGGTGATCTCACACACCGCACTTGCATGACATTCACTCCTTTGTGTCACCATGGAAGATTTGATTTGCAAAAGACAGACTGAAATGCTAACGCCCTCCTTTCTTGTTTTTTTGTGTATCATACACATACAAAGTGAGAATCGTGGCCCACACCCCTGCAGAAAATGAGTTGTGTTCTTCCATCTCACTGTGCTCA